CTTATGTTATACAGTATAGGTTTATATATAGGTACAATAATTAAAAACATAGCATGCCATTTTATTTCGGAATTATGCAAATTATTAAAATTGCAATTATACCTATTCGTGTTGTACAGGTATATACCAAGTATGGATTATAAATGTACCGAATCGGCTAATCATATTTCGTCAAGTTTATTATCTTTAATATTATAATAGATATATCTTAGACTATATTATACTATCCATACTTTGTTTAGTGGAAAACTACATAGTTGTTATAAAATATGTTTATTATTTCAGTTTTATTTTTGCACAAATGTATAAATATTTATGATGTGTGTGATAAATAATAATATATATCATGCTGAGCTGTTTGAAATAATGCGTACAATAAAATCAAAAATTAATACGAATTTTATCCGAACGATATAACACGTATCTATATAGGTACCTACCTAACCAATAAAATAAAAACCGGATAAAATCAGACAGTCACTCATGAGTAGCTAGTTAGGAAGGTGCTATAAAAATAATGAAAGTGAAGGTTCTCAATGTAAACATAATATAATATAATATTATGTTTGCGTACAATAATTGGTAAGTGGTATGAAAATGTAAAGGTGTACAACAGTTTTTTATACATAACGATTCATATCGGTTTATCAATTTGTAAATGTAATTGCGAAGGACTCTCTAAAAGCGCATTATCGGAAATTTGCAGTCTTAAGGGTACACAGACGTTAATAATACTGTTAAACCGAACGTATTAATTTGTTCATGCACTACCTATCTAATATAGCAAACAGTAATATAATATTCTAAGGACACATTTCGATTATAATTATTGTGCCGGTACACTTTCAAGTATTTGTGTTCAGATCGCGTAAGAACACGTTCAATAATAGAACCGGCTTCTTTGATTTTTCTCCATATACCATATTATATGAATATTCGATTAAGAATTAGAGAAACGTTTCCTGGCAAGTATAGCTCTATTTTGGATGTACAGGAACGGATACAAAACGGACATTTTATTAATTCTAAAAAAAAATGGTTTTTTTCTCTTCTTAAACAATTATACCAACAAAGAATAAAAATAATTGAGGGTTTTGTTCATGAATATAATACCAATAAAAACTACTGTAGTACTGTTTATTTATGATTTTAAATGTCCTTAGATTTGTTTTAACTCTTTAGTCATAAAAACACTGATATATTAATGTGTTCTTGTTGATTGTATAAGTATTAAGTAGGTATAAATTTCTTCCAGCAACTTTTCAAACAGTGATTACCTACTGGATTAGGATAACATATTATGTACTTTATATTGCAGCCAATCTATTTGAATCGTATTATAGCACCGAAAAGTACTTCTTTAAATGTACCATGTTCAGAACAAATATTTAATTTCATATGTCGTTATGGCTTCTCGCACTCTTGCTATTGTTGTAAGTGCCGACTATAGATGGTTATTTCGGTAATTTAATTGGCACAGTCAAATTGTTTTGAACTTTGAATTACGAATGGATAAGTTTTCAATGAATTGCGATGAGAAACGTTTTGGTTGCTTTGAAGGGTGGGCGTGGGGTCAATATTCAATATAGTAAAAATACTAAAATTCACACAAAATGTAAAGGAGACCGGCGACGAACTTTTCAGTTTTAGTGTTAATATTTTTGCAAAAATAATTTTGAAAGTTTATTTACCTCATTAGATGGCAATTTACAGTTTGAAAAAATATGGGAACATGAAAATGTTTTTGTCATCTATTGTGATCAATTACAAGCTGAATTCTGGTGGAAGTCTAAAAAATGTACTTATAATTCGAACTCTCTTATATGTATAAATTAAATTCGTCAGTAAATTTGATCTTGAGTAGGGTTGCAATAGACAATTTATCTAGTAGGTATATACTGTTTAATAATATTATCTCTACTGAAGACTATCGAATTTATTAGATAAAACCTTTATATATTTTAATTACATTTTTCTGAACTATATGTAGTTTTTACTGTGTAAATATTAGTATAAAATATACACAACTATTTTTAAAATGTTATAAATTATCATGTTTTATATTAAAATAAAAGTTGGGCAAGTCGGTACCACTCTACTTTATGGTAGGTTTCGTGTGGGTCACTGTAATAGATGTGTTAAATTTGAATTCAATGATCAGTATACATAAATGAAAAAAGATTCTGAGATAGACGGTGTAAAATTTGATATTAGTGATAATAGGTAGGTTGAATATTTATTTTTGGAAAAAGGCATATTATCATTTGCATATCTATATACTATTCTAAAATAATAAGTAATTTTTGGTTACATTAAGAGCTACAACTTACGAAGAACCTTGTACGAAACTTTCATGCATTATAGCAATTTAAATATAACATTATAACTAATGGCCTTTGTGGCCGATGTTTTGTTTGGATTAATAAAAATAAAAATATATATCATTTTATACATTTTTAATTACAAAATAATTTGCAAATTCTCGCGATTTTTACGAATTTTGTCAATATTTTAACTTAAATAAACGGAAAATGGTCTGACATTTGGCTACCTTAGTTACCAACAATTATTTAGATAAATATTAAAATGTTGACAATTTTTCGTTTTTTTTTTTTTTCCCGATGATTTTAAAAATACTAAGAATTTTCAGTTTTTACCTAATAAAAGTAAGTACCATTAAAAGATCCAAATTGCTACCAAAAACCTCCATCAAAGTTGATGATCAGAGAATTTTTTCTACTAGTATAAGTGTTTTCAGACACTAACAAAAACAAAGCAGACGTCGTCATTGTAAAATAAATACATTCATCGCTACTCTGTTCAATTATTACTTGCCTAGTCTAAAGTTCTATGTTTGCGTTTAATTTCAATTCTGTGATATAATGTATTTGCAAACTATATAGTCTTGCAATTTGCAATTCGCATACCATACCTTTGTTTAGTTTTAAATCTATTTCGGACGTTCCTTTAATATTTCTACAAAAAAAAAAAAAGAACATTAAAAACAACGTTTAATGCGAGGAAGTTTGAAAATGCTATTACAATAAAAGTACCTAATGTGTTTCGTGCACAGAAATAATAGTATACAATATACTTACTGCACTGCGTATAAATAGACAATAGTGCACGGTTCTTATTCACAGTCGATTTGATCAATAATTCTGCATCAATAATTAAAATAATAATAATAATATTTTATTTTTAAGTGAGTATAATAACACGTACGACTATATACAGTTTAACCAGATAATAATAAACACAATAATATAATTAGGTACCTAGGTACTATAACATTATGTACAAATACGCGTATTATAATATTCCGATACAGACGATACCTATAATACAATTGCGAAAGAGAATAGAATACGATTTCTAGTAATTATAAAAACTGTTTATATACCCAATTGCTACAACTTTGAATAGAAGTGTTTCAAATATAAAATTTAAAAAAAAATAATCAATACGTGGTAAAAAGTCACGAGAACTTTCTAATCAAAGTTCGATCCATATAATTTAATACGAGCATATATTTTTTCTGAAAAATAATAAATCATTTAAATCGTTACTATAGTCGTAACGATTTACTGTATATGTATACATAATTCTAAACATCCAGAATATTGTTTTTATTTTTGTGAAACCTAAAAATAAGGTTCTGAGAGGATTATCAAATTTTTGGACGATATTTTTATTTTTTGAAGTCATTGCGTCCGAAATTAAAATACATTTCTCGGAGATAGTCAGTTTCGATTTTCTGTAATATTTAGTACGAAACGCTTTCAAAATGCTTGTTCACAGTAGTTACCTCAAACGTATGACTGAATACCACATTAAACTATGAAAGTAAAATTCATGAGACTTATTGGTTTTATATTTTGATACGAAGCAAATTTACCATATGTATTTTATCCGAGTTGTCAAAAATTTGTCAACTATTGAGCTAGTATTTAATATATCGATTCAATATAAAGTGCAAGTTGTACCAAAGTTGGAGATGTTTATTTTTTAAAGTTAAGACTTAATTCTAAATAAGGTATTATGCGTGTTGAGGTCTCTGCCCCCTGGAAGAGTGTAGAAGATGCCAAGATGGATTTTAGGCTAAAGACAATCATTAAAAATATAGTTAAATTGTTGTGTGTATGAAAAAACGTCTATTCATATATTATCTAAATTTGTAATATAATGAATCTACTCCATTTTTTGAAAAAAAAATTCACAAATATTAAAAATGTTATATTCTAAAGTGGAATTTCTTAAAAACATGAGCTTAGAACATGAGCCTAGAACCACAAAACGCGAAAAAGTAAAACTAATCGTGGTCACAGAATTATTTTTGGCGATAATTTTTGAAAACAGAAAAATCGATAGCGATCACGCGTGTGAAGAGGCCCTTTTGAAAATGAACAAAAATCCGTTTCGTATTATATTATCATATTAGTTATTATTATCAACAGGTACGTTATATTATTATCCGAATCGGACGAGACTGATCGGCGCGGCTGCAGCGCGTTGTACGCGGTTGTGTGCACCTACTCGATACGTATGAAATCCGGTCCAGACGTCAACAGGTGACCACCGATGTAAAGGGTAATCGGACGACGAGAGTGGGCTGGTCGGGCGAGATTGTCGGGCGCAAAAGGGCAGGGTCGCGAGTCGGCCGACGATATATCGTATCATTGTCCTCAAAGCCACGCCGTGTCCCCGGGCCGACTTCCGCGTGACCGACGCCTATAATAATAATAATAATTATTATATTATTCCTATAGCTATATGTGCTACAGGTACCGCCACCGCAGCGCTCGACTAAGGTCAAAACGATTTTTTTTTCGTCCAGAAATCGTGTATAAATACCCATGCGGTGCCCAACCGATCAACACAGCATTGTCGATCGACAGTCCTAGTACTTCGATTACGATTTAGTGCGTTTATCTGAGTCTTAGTGGTCTCGTGTTTCACGTTTCTAGAAGACAACGAAGTCGTTCCATACACCAAGAAAAATGAATTCCGGTCTATTCGTAAGTGTAAAATGTTGTTATATTACTATTATTACCGTCGTACGCCTTTGACGCACCAAGTATACTATGTATAATTCTCGGAGAACGGACGGACGGGCTTTTCGGTTTTAAAGGAATGAAAAACTGCCGCAAATCGTTTTTCTTCAGAGGCAAACCCATACATTTTCCAGGCATCCTCAGTCATTAATCGTCTCTACGGCAGTATTACAAACATATGTCTATATTCACTACCATTTCATGACCTGTTAATCGAACAATATTTCATATTTTTATTTTACTAGTTTGCTATCGTATAAAATATATTATTGTATGAGTAGCTTTCAGCGTGGGTTCGTATTCGTAATACGTCGAACGATGTATCGAACTCAATCGAAATCCCTTTGAAATAATTACTGCGCCGCATGATCGAACTCTTTTTTTGTTGCCTTTGAATTTTGACATCATAACGGGTACCGTGCAAAATATAACCTCATCCATCTATTACGGCAGCCACAGCGATCCGCCATGAAATACACACCACAGCACCTACCACCAAATTATGATTTTATTTGGGGAGCGATGGCCCCTCTCTCCTGCCAGGAATCGCACCTTCCGAGATGCGTTTATCGTATTCGCGAGCATACGACTGCAACCGTCTATACATCATAACTGTCTTTTTTTTATTATTATGCATATTTAATTCGTGTACGGCCCTGCGACAAGACCTACAGTCGAGCACACACCTCTGTGCTGCGATGAGGGGTGTTTTTCGATTACGTCCGCGCGTACATAATATTACGTGCGCGGTTGCTGTGGAAATAATAATTAATCTCTCAGTCGAAAATCGGCTTAAAAATCGCCTGGGCAGCTAAGCACCGCCATTATTCTTTGAAATTGCTTGTGGCGTCTGTGCGTCTAATGTTTGCTTATAATTTAAACGGGGTCGGCATTTCCATCGTCGCGGCCTGAAGAGCGTGTGCGGTTTATCATCAATAAAGTTCAAGAAGTTGCATTGCGCACACACTGCACCGGTGCACTCGCGTGTTTGTGTCTGCTCTTGTGAGCGCGGCCTCGAATCGTTTTAAACGCCGCCGGCGATTCGTGAACGTTTCTGCATTATAATATGAAAAATCCAGTAGTAATATATTATAGGCCCGTACATTATAATGACGTGTGAAAAATGCAAAATGCTTAACATTTTCATATCAGACGTGTTTTCCGCCGGAAAAAAAGAGCCACGGGTTCGCAATCCCCCGCACACAACCTAATTATAGATCTTGAACGTTTTTCAACCACACGACGCTCAAGATGTAGCCAGTAAGCAAGCTCATACGATTGTACGTCATCGAGGGTGTAAAACAATCGATTGACGATAATACTTTATATAAATACTGTCCGTTCATATACAGAGTGTCCCTCGAGAGGTCATTTATCAAACGTGTGCGAGAAAAAAGAATAAAACTCTATCTTTTGTGCCCCCCGGCCCCTCTTAGTCTCTTATCAATTCGAAGGGTAAAGTTTGTTTTTATGCATTTGTTATCACTCTCGGAAATATTAATAAAATATGCATGTTCTCCGTGTATTACCCCGGATGATAATAAGAACAAACAAACTTTAAACTTCGAACTTAAACCCAAACCAACTGACCGAGTCGAAAACGATAACGCGGGATGCTTGTGAAAGGTGTTTAACTTATAGTATTTCGTCGAATCGTAACAAGACAACATTTTTTTAAAGCCTTTTCCTATAAACTAAAAAACCTTTGAATACAAATGTCGCTGACGCTAAAAACTATGTTTCTGATTTCGTGTGGTTTTACTTTTGCAGTTATTCGCAGCAGCGGTCGTCGCGGTCGTTAGTGGAAGCGCCGTGTACCCAATCCCAGTGCACCACGCACCGGCCACCACCCAATACCACTCCCAAGATGAATTGGGCCAGTACGCGTACGGTTACTCCGGTGGCCCGTCGTCCAAGCACGAACAGCGCACCGCGGACGGCGTGACCAGCGGCGGTTACTCGTACGTTGACGCCAACGGCCTGGTCCAGTCCCTGGCCTACGTGTCCGACCCGGTCAACGGTTTCCGTGTGAGCGGAACCAATCTGCCCGCAGACTCCAACACCGCCCATCACGCCGCTTTGCCGGTCGTCCATCAAGCCGCAGTGCCGGCCGTCCATCAAGCCGCAGTCCCATCACCATACTACTTGGCCGCCGCCCCAGCACCACTCCCAGTCGCCACTTCCTACTCCAGCGTCGTGCACCACGCAGCCGCCGAGCCGATCGTCGTCAAGAGCCCGTCGTACTACGTGCCCGCCGCTCACCCACTGATCAAGCTCGCCCAGCCACTCACCCCAGCCAGCACTTCCAACGTCCACTACCCAGAGCACGCCGTCCTCCTGGCCGCCCGTAAGAAGCGTAGCGCTGGACTCTACCCCACACTGGTTTCCGGTTACTCCGCCGCCCCCGCTCACATCGTCACCGTCAAGCACACCGAATTCGCCGCTCCACCAGCGCCAATCGTCCACCACTTGGCCGCCCCATCCCCGTACTACCTGGCCGCTGCCCCAGCACCGGTCGCCACTTCCTACACCAGCGTAACCCGACACCACGAACCAGCAGTCGCTCCAGTGCTCGCTTACGCCGCCCCAGCCCCACAGGTCTACGCCGCACCTGCCCCACACGCAGTCTACGCCGCACCGGCACTCGCCCCGACCGTAGCAGTAGCCCCGGCCAAGAGCCAGTTCCACGCACAAGACGAACACGGCCAGTACACTTACGGTTACACCGACGGTGCATCCGCCAAGACCGAGACCCGTTACGCCGACGGCGAGACCAGAGGAAGCTACTCGTACGTGGACCCTCACGGTGAAGTCCAGGCTGTCCACTACTCCGCCGGCGCTGAAGGTTTCAAAGCCGCAGGAACCACCATTCCTGTCCACCACGTCTAATGATCTGAAAACGCCGCCCGCCCCCACGCTGATCGAGTAACATATTGTATACTCTATTGCACAGTCTTCCCTTCTTTTTCTATACATATAAATATATAAATAATAAACATTTTTTATCGACTTCTTGTACTTTTTGAACCTTCCATCGACTTCAATATTATAAGACGCCATCATACCAATATAATATACATTATATTATCGTGGATATTAATTAATCATATTGGTCTACACAAACACGTTATGGACACACATGGGCGGAATCGGGATTTTCCTGTAGGCCCTCGTCTTTGTTGTATGATGAGCCCCCCCTCCCTGACTTAAACTCCGGTACTAAATTGTACACATATGCGAGGCCCTGACAAATATTTCCCGGTAAGCCAAAAACCACCTATCCACCCATGTGAATACTTTACTTGAGCACCCTTATCAGGTTATAGGTAAGATGTTGTGTAATCATATTATTATAAGGCCGTGTTATTCATTGACGGGTCAGGTCATAATATTTTGTTGTCGTTTCCTCGCCCTTAAGTGTGATCAGAGTTATATTATTATCAGCCAAATCTAGAACTAATGGTGAACGGGTAATGTATATTCTATATTATACTATACGAACTTTTTTCTACTAGATATATGCTCCATTAAGCTCTTATCACACGATAATAGTCTTGAAACTAAATGATCATATGATCTAGCCTACCTACTAGCAACTAGCTAGCTTATAACATTGTATTTAAAATAGTGTAGGTACAAATATCTGAACCACGGTTGTCTACCGAGGTTGGGAAACGGCCTATCTAACTCCACTGTATAATACGGTCATATGGCGTTATTGTGAGCTACCAGAGGTTGTAGCTTTTGTAAAACTAATATCATAGTTTTCAAATAAAACATACATCAGCCTACAGTGATTTTTAAGCTAAGACTTTTAAAATGTGCTCATTTACAAGTTTCAACTTAAATATAATTTTGAGTTCTGATTAGTCAATGTAATTAACTACTATAATTGATACTACGATTTATAGATTAAAATTATAATCATGGGGAATTGTGTTTTCTATTGTACCTCTGGATATAAAAGCGTATAAATCAATAAAGAAAAGATTTCAAAATATCCAGTTAAAGGTTAAAGAAATTTATGTAAGGTACCCAAAAATCCAACACTTGCTTTATAATAAAATTATAGTTATATATTAATAAACATTTAGCATCTATACACAGGATGTAACATAAAAACTTACAAATGAAATAACTTTTGTTCGAACTCAATATTTTGAAATTTTTTTTTAGGTCTATAATTTATTGACTCTTGCTTTTACGTATAATATAATATAACAGTTTTTTATTTTTATTTTTTATAAAAAAAATAAAAAATTTCAAATCTGATGTATCTGATTAATTTTGTTAAATACGGATGATCCAGTATTAAAAAACATTAAGCTATTTCAAACTTTTTAAAAATATTTCATGAGCATTTTTTATAGGAACTTGTTACAATCTAGTTGCTTTTCAAATCATTGTTAATTCATAAAAAAATAAACCATTTGACTTAATAAACTTAATTTAACTTGATAAATTTTACAATAAAAAGTTTTCTAAACACTAGAATTACAAATTGGCTATTTTGTTTTTCAAAAAAAAAAAAAAAATTAATTAGATTTTGTATTTTTCTTATTAAAAAATTAAAATAAAGTACATAATAATATTTATTTATTTATTTATTACATATAATATATAATATTATATAATTGTAATTGTATACGCCCACAACTGGGCTCAGAACAGTTATTTTTGTTTTTTATATATATAAATATATAACACATAAAACATTATACAAGAGCAGATAACTTAATATTAATCTATTTATAGCTATACATTATAATAGTATTTAAAATGAATACATAATAGTAGGTTCTTGATAGTACATTTAACATTTAAATAAAATTGATTTCAACCTGGTTAGATTATCATGAAAAAAATCGAAATTATTTATTGAGTTACCAGATATTAGCATTCTATTGATCGGAGCGAATTGACTATAATTGTTACGATAAGAAGGTATATAAAACGTTTTTGATACACGAGTGTTTGTTTGAGGAACATTTATAGGTATTTGGTTAAGTAGTTCTGGACAGATTATTTGAGAGTTAAGTAGTTTATACAACCAAGATACATCATGAAATGTTCTCCTATTTTTAAGCGACACTATATTAAAGTCACTGGCTAGCTGCTCCAGCGAGACGTCAGTTCTATTAGACTTATATGCTAGTACTCTCAAAAATTGTTTTTGAACCCGTTCAATTTTATTAATTAATCCCGTTTGGTAAGGATTCCAAATAACTGAGCCGTATTCAAGAATAGAACGGACTAAAGAACAATATAACAGTTTAAAGCAATTAGGGTTTTTAAAATCAAAGCAGTTTCGTCTTACAAAACCAAATACTCTTAGAGCTTTATTACACATTATAGTTATGTGATCATTAAATGATAGGTCACTTGACAAAAGTATACCTAAATCCCTTATCTGTGTTACAATCATTATAAATACAATCATTACAATATATAGTGCAAAGTTCAAACTGATGATTTGTGATGTATATTTGAATTTTAAAAACTACAATATTGCATTATAGTTTTTATTAAAAAGAATTTTAGGGACCTACCTAATACCTATATTATATTGTTCCTGAAAATAACTCTTCCAAAAGGTAAGTTTATGATTCAATTGAAACTAAAATAAATATAAAAAAATCTACTCACAAGTCTAAAGTATTAAAAAAAACTGGTAAGTGCAGTATGGTTGAATATGTCAGAGGTGCATTGAAGTTTTTTCCCTCGTCGGATATGTATTATTACAGTATTCGATAAAAAACGATTCTGAGAGGATGATCAGAGGACGATTATTAATTATATGTGGTCATTAAATATAGGTATAAATATGTTTATATAGAAATTAGTATGTAAACAGTATGATATAATTTGATATTAGATTTAAAAATAATGTTTAAATTCAATAGTAAATTTAATAAATATAAATTCATACATTTTATTTTTTTTATCGGTTGTTTTAAAATTGTATTCATTTCTATGGTGATAAGCAAAGTGTTAGAAAAAAAAATAGCTTAGCAATAGGGTGTTTTTTGTGGTTTTTCCCGTAGTGTTAAAAAACTATTGAGAAAATCGAAAAATGACCTCTTTAAAGTACAATCTTGATCCAATTTTGTAAAATATAAGATACTTTATGTTGAAATCAAAACACTCCTTCTGGTAGAAATTTTGTTTACATGATAAAAAAAAAGCAGGTAAGTGGATGTCGCTCTGCTGTATAGTATGTTACAAGTGGGTCACTCTATAATGGATTGTATTAAATTTGAATTCAATGATATCATATCATTATATAGCAACAACGATTCTGAGCGGAGAAGGTTCGTCGGTGTGGATATTTTATATCGTTATTATATTATTTTATTATAGCCTGCCTGTTTGTTTTAACATTAAAAAAATTACAACAAATAATAACTAAAATCGTTATTTTTATTTTATTCGTTTCTATAGTGATAAAAAAAGCGTTAGAAATTAAAATCCCATTTTTAGAGGTTTTTTGGTAATTTGTAGGTATTTTTTCCCGAGGCATTAAATAACTATTGAGAAAATCGAAAAATGACCTCTCTAAAGTACCAACTTGATCCAATTTGCTAAAAGATAAGGTACTAGGTATATTATGTTGAATCAAAGCACTCCTTCTGGTAAAAATGTTGTTTACAAGATAAAAAAAAAGGTGGGTAAGTGGATGTCGCTCTGCTGTACTGTAGGTTACAAGTGGGTCACTGTATAATGGATGGTATTAAATTTGAATTCAATGATACAATATCATTGTATAAGAAAAACGATTCTGAGCGAAGACGGTATGTCAGTCTAGGTTTAAGACAAATTATATACATATCTATGGTATTAAAAAAAAATTGACCTATAATAAATTCCAAATTAATCATATCACATTATCACAATATCCATTAGGTACTTATAACACGTTATACATCAAGATCAATTACAAACCCTGATACTATCATTGATATATAATAGTACACTTTAGAAGTTTCAAGTAGGTACCCACGAATAATATTATATAATCACAACAAAATAACTAGGTTTTTTAATATGTAATTTCGTCCAAATTTGAACATAAAATGACTATAAAAATAAACTGTGATTGTATATTTTTTAGATTTTTCGGTAAGAGAATTAACTACTTACGTAGAATCTTGTTTTAAATTTTCAATCCTTAGCTATAAAAACTGAACATTTTAGAATTTATTAATTACAATGATTAATAATTTTCGAGATTTTGAAAAATTCTGTCAAAATTCGATCTTTAAATGCTTATAAAAAAAAACTGTGCCTATGTATTTTTAATATTTTTCAACTGCTATTGTAACAATATATCAGGAGCCTTGTATTAAATTTTTACACTTTTTGGCCCAACAGATAAAACTTTATTGATATTTGTAGAAAAAAAAACTAAAAAAAATTGAAAGCTGTAAATGTCCATAAACAGCTCAAAAAGAGTCAAAATATTTTCAAAATTGTATGGTGTATAGAAAATGCTAATTTAAACATTCAGTGAAATTTTCATGTATCTACAGTTGTTCGTTTTTGAATTGCAACAAAATAAGGAAATCGCTACATGAGTAATCAAGTGAAAATCCAATGTTGTAAAAATTTGAATTTCAAACGCTCATAAAAATTTAATTTGACTGTCCGGTAGAGATTTTTTTATTGATAAAGGTAGATAATCTTATAAGGAATCTTGTGTTTCATTTTCAAATCTTAGATTTAAAAAGAAAAATTTTTAGGAATTCTTAACTCAAAATAATTTGCTAATTTTCGTGATTTTTCCATATTTTGTCAATTTTTGAACTTTAAATGCTTATAAAAAAAATTGTGACTAAGGATTTTTAATATTTTTCATCTGCCTTTGAAACAACATATTAGGAGCCTTCTAT